AGTTTAGCCTCCACATAGGAACCATAGGAAAAGACTGTGTGTGTGTGTCTGTCTGTTTGTCTGTCTGTGTGTCTCTATAGATTTTGTTGTCCAGGTTGGTCTGAAACTTGTGTCTCAAGTGATTGTTTTTTTTGCAGCCAGCTAAAACTGTCACTTTTAAAGTTGTGTAATTCAAAGACAAATTGATGCTTCTTTATGATGTTACACTATACACTGACTGAGGGAAATGTTTTTACATTCCTTATTTTTTTTTTTAAATTCATCTACCAAATCAGGCACTCCCTATTCTTTTGAAACCTGTAATAGCTAATTCATTCATTATTATTTTTTGTGTGTAAAACATTGGATGCTGGAAATAAGGGTTGTGAACAAGACATAAAATGGCAGTGCCTAGTAAGCTGACATCTGAAGTGGAGGATCTACATTAAATGATTACTATTCTTGGGGGCTGGGGATTTAGCTCAGCGGCATAAGTACCTGCCTTGCAAGCAGGCAGTTGTGAGTTCGATCCCCGGTACCGATAAAAATGAAAAAGACATAAATAAATAAATACTATTCTTTGCTCTATGTGTGTCCTTAAGTGATTGAATGAGAACTGTGTCTGTTTGAGAACTTTCATCTGAACTGCACATTGTAAGAATTACACTGATGTATTGTTCATGAAAGCCCAGGGTCTTATAGCAATAAATTTCATTTTTCCAAGACATTTCTTCTTTTTGTGTTTTTTGTTTTGTTGAGTCTCAGTGTAGTGCAGATTGACCTTGAATTCACTGTGTAACCAAGGCTGGCCTTGAACTCATGATGATGCTTCAGCCTCAGCCTCCCAAGTGCTAGGCTCACAGGTATTCACCACCACACCCAGCATATATTTTCATTTTTGGAAGGGGATTTTTCAGAGAAACAAAAACTCCCTAATTTCACATCTTCAGCTATAATAATACAACTGTTCCTTTGTTTTTTGTTTTTAATTCTTTAACCTAGGTGTCACTGAGTGCATTCCTAAAACATACAATACACTACTTCTCAGTCCCCATGTCATTATTTCTTCATCTCCAGTTCCCAATCGCATACTGGTGTTGAGAAATACTGTTAAAACATGTTTATTATATCCCAGCGACAAACTTTTTTCTGCCTTCTTGATCAGACTGTTATATATTCTTGAGCATTTGCTTGGCAGGAGACCAGTGTCATAGTATTTTTTAGACTGGTTTAGTTCCCTTTGACCTTTAGTCTAGATTCACCGGGTTTTTGTTTTTGTTTGGTACCAGTGATGGAACTTCAGTGTCTGGTGCTTGCCAGGCAGGCACTGTGCTGCTGCGCTGTATCTCCTGCTCGTTTGAATTCTCTTAACATTTTTGGTTCCCTCATGGCTTTGAGCTTGTATCTTGCATTTGTGTTTTCTGTGTATTTGTTTTTAAACTAGATTTACATGGATGTGAGTTTGGAGGAAAGTAGAGCAGAGAGGTGGACCTTGCTTTCTTATTAGCATATTCTTTGGACCTTAAGTGCCGTTAATATTCAAAGTAAGGAAAGATGATTTTTATCAGTTTGAACTCATTCTTTAGCCTACTGATAAATAGCACTGAAATCTAATAAATTTAAGTATTGATTTAAAAAAGTAGAAAGGGGCTGAGGATTTGGATCAGCAGCACAAGTACCTGCCTGACAAGTGTGAGGTCATAAGTTCAATCCCCTCCAAGGAAATAAATTAAAAAAATAAAATAGAAAATGAGTCCCTTGAACATTTTTCCTTTGAGCATTTTAACGCTTTCATGTAGTAACATAATGAGAATAAAATGCAAATGAAACTTCATTAATCTCACAGATAATCTGAAGATGTATAATATGCACATCACTTGAATAGTATATTTAGTAATATCACATGTACTTCACATAAAAATGTGTAAAGGTGAGAGAGCCTAAATTGAAGGCACCTGTTAAATGGAGATGTGATGTTCTTGTGTTGCTTTAGTTCAGATTATCTACAAAGAGGTTAGCATTTATTACTCAAATTCTGTGAGACTGTTCAAAACAATATAGTAAGCACTTTGCAGCCAGATATAGAGCCAAACACCAAGTAATACTACATGAATATTATACTGTCAGGAGGTTAGAATGTAGAAATAAGCAATAGTCAATGGAGTGAAATTGCATGAAATGGAAGACCTGTGTAGGATAGCTACATGAGGAAGGTTTGTCTGCTATCAGGCTCTTTTTTTTTTTTTTTTGGTCTTTTTTGAGATGGGGGTCTCTCTATGCAGTTCAGGTTGGCCTTGAGCTCACTTTGTAGCCCAGGCTGGTCTCGAACTGGCAACGATCCTCCCACCTCAGCCTCCCAAGTGCTGGGATTACAGGCATGAGCCACCACACCCAGCTGTATCAGGCTTTTTTAAAATTTGAGATTAGAAGTAGAAAGAAGTTCTGGAATAGGAATGGAAAATAGGAGGTAATGGCAGAAAGCAGGAGTAGGATTTGAAAAGCAGGTCATTCCTGGTTCCTAATCCATTCACGTACAATGATAGTCTCAATATGTAAGTTTGTCCAGGTAGAAAACATAGATGGAGGGTAGAGTGTTAACTTTAGAGAAGTAAGCTGTATATTCCTTGAAGTGGAAAGAAATGAAAGAAACATCTGTTGAGTTTAAGGAGATGAAAGTACCAGTCTTTGTAGAACAGAGCAACCCAATTATTTTGAAGTTTAATAGAAATGAGACAGTCTTTGTGAGAGTTGACTTGCACTTTCCTTTCAGCCTAGTTGATTTTTCTTCCTCTCACTTTTTTTGCACTTTATGAATTTGTTGTGATTTTCAAAAAAAAAAACTTGTATTAAATTCATATTAAAAATCTGCTACAACTCAAGCTGGGCAAAATGACACACCTGTAATTCCAGCACCCAGCAGGTTGGGGTAAAATGATTAAGAATTTGAGGTCAGCTATTTGGTAAGACCGCATCTCAAAATATATATACATAATTGTTGGACATTTATAGATGTTACTGACAACTCTTACCACAGATTTGTGGCTTCAGTTAAGTAAAACCAAAAAAGGAAGGGAAACATAAATTGTGTTCTGTGTGTTTAGTGGCATTTTTCCATGTTTTATATCTGGCAAGTAGTTCACAAGAATGGTTGAAGTGGCCTATTGCAGTGGCATACATCTGTAATTCCAGCTATAGGCACACTTGCGGCCACGCTAGGCAATTTAAACTCCTCATTTCAAAAAAATGTTTTAATGTCTAAGGGGATATAGCTCAGCTGTAGAACAGTATGCTTTCATAGTATGAGCAAGGCCCTGAATCCAATCCCAAGTACACAACAAACCAGGCAAAAGTGACAAGAATGAATGTGAAGCTTCTAAGCTTACGCCCTTTAGGATTTTTTTTTTTTTTTTTTTGTACTGGGAATCAAACTCATGACCTCATGCTTGCCAGGAAGGCGCTTGTGCTGCTGAGCTAAATCCCCAGCTAAGATCTTTTACTTTCAATGTTAGATTCAAGAGTTAGGGCTCAATTAAAAGTTTATTTATTTATCTCAGGTACTATGATTGAAATTCTGCAGTTCTGCTAGATGCCATCAGTGGATAATGGTTATGGGTATCCAAAACTATGAGTTAGAACAGATTGGTTTTTGGTCTGGATTGGGTTGTTGTTTTGTTTTGTTTTGTGGTGGTGATTCTAAGGTTTCATGCATGCTAGGCAGGTACTTTACAAATAAAGCCACATTGTCAGTTAAAAAAAAAAAGCGTAGATGACCATTTTTTAAAAAAGAAACCAGAATGTCACACATGTAGCTAACTGCATTTTCTACAAAAATGAAGTTATTAAAATATTAAATTCTGATACTTTTTATCTTGATTTTCTTTGAATCAATAACATTAGTAAAACAGCATGTTAGAACAAAATCTCAAAAAATAACAATGAATTAAGCCATGAGATTTCAAAAAATCCTTTTTTTGAATACTTAAAAAAAACAAACTTAACTATAGTATAGTAAATCTTAGTATCAATTCTGTTGCTTTTTGGAATTGATGAAGTCCAGTTTCTGTTTTACTTGTACACTTTTTAAGATGGAACCTTGTTAAGTTGCCAGGCAAGCCTCCAACTTACTCTCCTTGGCTGAGTCTCCCAGGTAATTGGGATTATCAGTGTACAGCATTGTACTGGGCAACTTCAGCCATTCTTGAAAACTACTTTCCAAATACTTTTAAAAAAAATATTTTATGTCCTGGCTAGTTTTCTTTCCATGCAGAATTTGTTACATGCATAAGTTTGAAATTCAAGTAGATACTCATAAACATCGAAATTTGAGATTACTTACTGTGTGTGATTGATTCCTAGTCCTTGGGGTAAATGAAATTAACACTAGTTCTTAAGATATTGGTGATGTATTAAATTTATCCATAATAATGGAGCAGTAGATAATTAAAACATGATTCGCGTCATCTGTTTGAGTTAATACTGGTTGCTTGCTGTAAAAATGTAACTCTTCTTAAAAATAATCATTAGGTATAGTTTGGTGGAAAGGAGAACCAGGATTATGATCAAAGAAATTTACTTTCTGAAGCATTTTGGAGTGACTTCTGTAGCACTTATTTCTTCAGTTAAAAATTGATCTGGGGGAATTAAGCAATTTGCCTAAGGTCAGAGGACTCAGTGGCAGATGAGTATAGAAAATCAGCTGCTCTGGCAAGGAGAGTTAAGTCAGAGTCAGCCATGCATGTCTTTTTAGGATGTTGGGGTCACGAAGAGAAAAGAAATCTTAACTACTCCTGTTTTGTATTGGGCAATGTAGTTAACTGGAGGATTCGTCTCCTAAATAGAGAGCTTATCCTAAATAAATATCCTTATAAATATCCTAAATAAATATCCTAAATATCCTTAACCAAAGAAGAAAAACCGTCTTTGTCTTGGGGCTTTAAGAATGTAATTTTTAAAAATTCATGATATTAAATGATAATTAGAGTTTTATTATAACCTTCACTTCTCTTTTTCTCTTTTGTTAGGTGGTATGGCCAGGAAAAAGACTATAATGTGCTAGTCATGGATCTTCTGGGACCCAGCCTTGAAGACCTCTTCAATTTCTGTTCAAGAAGGTTCACAATGAAAACTGTACTTATGTTAGCTGATCAGGTATGTGAAATTCTGACAAAAAGAAAAACTGAAAATGCTACTGTGGCATTTCATGAATTAGAATATTACAATCCTTGTGTCACTGTTTAACATTTTAGGAAAAGCAAAAGGGATTTGGTACCCCACTGTTACAGCATGTGGTCATTCAAGTGTACCACCCTACTACCCTTATAAATATTTTCTCTGATTATGAGAAAGGATCCTTATAAAAGCTATACTGTATTTTTGAGCAAAGAGAGGCACAAAAGTGATTTAAGGAAGAATTTGTTTCATTAAGTAGATGTTTCTTGAGATAATGATTTTTCATTTTTATTTTTGAGGGGTGGTTTTTGTTTGTTTGTTTTTTGTACTGGGGATCGAACTCAGAACCTCTCACTTGCCAGGCAGGCGCTTTTGCTGTTGAGCTAAATCCTCCGCTTCTTTTTAACTGGAAATCGAACTCGGAACATTGTGCTTGCCAGGGGGGTGTTGTGCTGCTGAGCTAACATTTCTTAAATATAGATTAGTTGTCATGAAGCAAAGTGATGATAAACAACTGGCATTTGAGGTAGAATTTTAGAAAGTTTATAAATTCATATTGTTAAACAGTGTTCATTTCCTGTCTTTAGCACCTGATTTCCCAAGCTTTCTTAAATATAAAAACTGTGTGGCTTAAAACAAAATAGTAATAGCAAATTGAGGTGTTCATTTGTGGAATGTATTATAAACTCAAGCTTCATAAAGTTAATGATACCTTTCAGTGTGTTTTAACTAACATATGAGGTAAATCAATAAAAGATTGATAGCTTATTTGTTGTAGGTCCAGTTATACTAAGCATTTATACAGTGAACATATATGAGAGTCTACCACTGTACTTAACTATTGGAGGGCACGGGCTAAGAAGTCCCTTTCCTCTCAGATAGAAAGATGGTTAAATAAATTATTTGAGTTCTGTGAAGGAAGTATGTATTGGGTACACTGGTAACATGAGATAGAATTAATTTCTGGAAAGGGGTTGCAAGAAAGCTTTGTTTAAGCCAGTTAAAATCTTGTTCAATAGACATTAGCTAATGCTAGAAGTTGTGTCATTATTGTTGAATTGACTTTTTCTTTCCTTCTCATGTATGTGTGTTTGATACTGAGAATTGAATCCAGGACCTTGCAAGTGCTAGGCAAGCTAACACTCAGCTACATCCCCAGCCCTTCTTCTGGGTTTTGTACATGTTTATCATTATTCTAGTGAAACTGATTCTTACTAAATTGCCCAGACTAACCTCAACCTTAACAGTCATCTTGCCTCAACCTTGCAATTTTAGTTGACCTTTTCCCAGTGATTCAACAATCTCAAGAATGATGGATATAGCCAGGTGTAGTGATGCACACCTGTAATCCCAGCACTTGGGAGGCGGATGCCGGAAGATTTTTGCAAGTTCAAGACCAGCTGGGGCTACAAAGTGAGCTTAGGACGATCCTAAACTGCATAGCAAGACCCTGTCTCAAAAAGACAGACAGACAGAAAGATGGATATTGCTTAACAAAGACAAGTATACATATTAAGTGATCTAAATATTTTGTTTCACTTTCTGTAATGTAAAAGTTGCTACACCAAAAGGGTAATACTTGTATTTTGTAGAAACTTGCTGCTTTGAGGGTGTAAATAGTTTAAGTTTTGCTTCAGAAAGATGCAAAAATAGAGTATGATTTAAAATCTGTATATCCAAGGTAATAGGATTTCTGAGGGGAATAGGGACAGATGTACTACTGAGAAGAACAAGAGTATATGAGTAGAAAAATAGTGTTAATAGTCTTTAGATTTGCGATTCCTTTTAAAATGTAACTTGTTAGAAAGAGACATATTTGGTAATATAAAAAGCCAAAACTTCTATTGCATACAAGATTCTGTAAATAGCTAAAAGATATATTTTAAAAGTAAAATCTATTGTCGCAGTAGATAAAAAAGATTGTTGTATGCAGAGAGCTCCTACAAATTGAAAGGAAGGGCAGTGGGAAATACAGCTCAGTGGCACAGTGCCTGACTAGCAAGTGTGAGATCATGAGTTTGATTCCCGGTCCTAGTCAAGTTGGTCAGTAAATGTTGAAAGGCATTTGAATGTTAACTACCAAAATGAAAAGTATGTATCACTTCACCCCCTATGATTAAGAGTTATATCAATAGCAGTAAAAACACTAGTGGCTAACAATACATAAATATGTTGATAGCATCATTGAGTATAGGGAGAAAAATTGGGAACAGTACTGTGAGTAGGAGAAAAATTTATAGCCATTAAAAAGAATATTACAGAACTGAGGATGTAACTAACTGATGGAGTGTGTTCTTCACATGCATGTAGCCTTGCATATGGGTATGGAAATACATTTGTAAATATCCCTAGCACTAAAGGTAATAATTAAGATATTTGTCTTGAAATAATTTCTAAGACATGAAAAAAGTGTGTCAGAATGACATGTTAGTATGAGCATGGAGAAAAACGGGAGAAATTTTTTAATGCACAAGGAAAGAAACCTGATGTGTAGGTGTCTCTCTGTATATAAAACATGTTTATGTTGTAACAACCAACTTCCAGGAACAGGGAGGGGGAATAAGAGGATATTACAAGTTCAAGTCCAGCCTGGGCAACCTAGTGACTCAGTGAGACCATGGGCTCAGTTTCCATTATGGAAGGCAGTGGGTGTAGTGTCAGGAGTAGAGGGAACAAAAATAATCGAACGCTTGGCTGTTTGAGATGGCAAGCTGCTTCTACCTGTATTTGCTGGCTAGTCAACACCCCTTGCTCCTAAGTACCCGTGTGTATAATTATAAGGATAGTGTGGAAGTAGGCTTTAGTAATGACATACTTTACTGATTTTTTGTTTTTGTTTTTGTATTGGCAATCCAACCCAGGACCTTGCAGATGCTAAACACACTGAGAGGTTTATCATTGCCTCGCCATGCTGTTCTAACAGGTTTTTAACCTACCATTGCCTCACCGTGCTGTTTTAACAGAGGTTTTTACCTACAATTTAAATAGATCCAAATATATTCTTTATACAATTTGAATGTCAAAAAGTTTTCTGTCAAATCAGACCTCTTTTTAACCATTAATATTGGAAAAATAAGCCAAAGGTTTTCTATGAGGTTTGATAGAAATATATAATATTTAAATTTTTTTAAAACTTCACTACAGTAAGAGACACATTGTCATTAATCTCCCTCAGACTATTTCCTGCCACTTTGGACAAATGTATTGTTGTTGTACTCTCTGAAGCAGTTCTGAAAGTATTTTTGGTGCCTTTATGAGATATGATAAAAAAATATGGCAAATGCTGCTGCCAAGTGCCGTCAAATAGAAAATGACTTGTAAAAATGTATGGCACTGCAACTTCTGATTGTTCCCCAAAATCAAAGGGATCATGAATAGTAATTATTATATTGAGGCAGACTCGAGAGCATTCCTGAAGACACTCACAAGAACCAAATGCCAGAACTGCTTCAGAAAATGGCTGGAATAAGTGTTCCCCAAAAAAGGAGAAAATATTTTGAGGAGGATTGATAGCAGTGTCTTTTATTATAATAAAATATTCAGAATTGTTAAAGGTTTTGCCAACGTTTGTTTGTTTGTTTGTTTGTTTTTGTACAGGGAATTGAATGCAGGACCTTGAGCTTGTCCAGCAGATGCTGTGCTGCTTAGCCATATCCCTGACCCTCACTAGTTTTTGATCATACTTGATGCTTAGATAGCCAGCAAACTAGAAATAAGTGGAGAATTTTTGTTAATATTGTCTAATGCTGTTGTGAATTCTAAGTAATTAAGCTATGGTAATACTTGAAGAAGAAATATGTTGGGTTTTATCACTTAACTCATTTGTCTCCCCCTCCTTTTTTTTTCAGATGATCAGTAGAATTGAATATGTGCATACAAAGAATTTTATACACAGAGACATTAAGCCAGATAACTTCCTAATGGGTATTGGGCGTCACTGTAATAAGGTTAGTGAAATGCTCTTTGCATGAAAGAGGGAAATACTGACAAGAGTTGCTTTGGTAAACTTTTCAATCTTAAAAAGCCATAGTAAATTGAATTTGCTATTGGTAATTGCTTTAAAAGATTGTGCTAGAAGGATAATCGGCTAACTCTATTAACTTAGTAACTTGAAATATATTTTTTCCAACTTACCCAACCAACGTTAGTTATCTATATGGAAATATTTAAAATTCCAAGGGCTTTATAATAAACTGTAATCATCTGTATTTAACTGTGGAAGATTTGTATCTATTTTTCATTCACTTGAATAGTGAAAACCTCCATATATACTTTCCCTCCTGTATGCTAAAAAAGCAGATTTTAACTTTGGCTCTAAAGCGTGGATTTTGTAATATATGTGCTTGTGCCAGTGTGGCAACCACTGACCCATCTGTCACCATGGTGTTAACATTTGCTGACTGAGCATGGTTGATACTGCGAATTCCTCAGTCCTTGGATTTGTGTATTTTAAAGGATAACTTGGGGTCTGCTTCAAAACTAGTTGACAGTTTCTTGTGTGCCAAGTTGGGTGAGTTCCTTCAGCTGTCTTAAAGGAAAATGTAGACAAGTGAACCGAATATCTATGCAGCAAAACTAGTGCAATTGGGGTCTCTGAGGATGGTCCAGCTGCAGGGTGGTTGGGTTGTGTTTAGTGACGCATGATTGCAGATAGAAACTAATTGTGTTGAATTGTTTTCCGCAATGATTAGTTTTATTGAGTGAATTGCTTTCTTTATCCATTCACTGTTGAGCTCGAGCAGACAGGCAGCATTGGCAATGCCCTAAGCATGTTATGATCTAATGATTTGATAGAAATTCTCAACTTCAGGACAACTTGGGGGCTTTTTGTTTTTGTGGCTTTTTTGTTTTGTTTTTGTTTTGTTTCGTTTTGTTTTGTTTTTGAGAGGAAGATTCACATTTGTTTTATTAAACTGTTTTAAGGAATGTTTGGTGTTTTTAGATCCAGCTGTAAATGTTTACCTTTGTTTGCCTGTATGAATGCCAACTTGGAGCCATTACCATTAGAATTGGTGTTATTTGTTAATGTGTGAGATGTTAATGTTGGTCTGACCAAGTTTCAGGAATTTAAATTTTTATTGAGGTTTTATTAATGAAAAGTGTTTCAGTCTACATATTAACTTATTATTTCCAAATTGCATTTTTAAAAATGACTAAGTAGCTTCTCACTTTGAAACATCCAGGTTCTTAATTGTTCTTATAAAACCTGGAGTTTAATTGAAAAAATTACTAATTTAATTTTTTGGACATTTTTGTCGCTGTAACTCTTTTAGCCATTTTCTAGCCCCCTTCTATACATCTTCTTACTCCTTAAGAACCCAGATTCCCATAGATAAGGATACCTGTCTGCATGTTGACAGTGCAGTACATGGTTTTTGCCTTTAAATTTAAATGATGGCCTAGATAATTTGGGGTCTTATTTTGGTTTGGTTTTTATCCTCCTCTAAGATCCTTGTGAATCCCGTATTTGTGTTGGGAAATCCAAGTAGCTGGGTGGTGAAAGCTTTTAGGTTGTGTCCTCCTTGCTGATAAAAATTTTGTAGAGCTGCTTATTGTTAGTTTCTGAGATACTTCAGGGTAGAAGTGAAGCGTTTCACCTAAGATCTAAGTAATAAATGTTGCTTTTGAAAATCTTAGGTTAGTGTTCTGTTTATGTTAGTTGGTTTTTAGTGTTTTCTGTATTGTAGTTTGAAAAATGCCAGTTGAATAAGACTGGATCCTTTGGTCAGCTTGTTCTAGTAGCTTTCTATTTATGGGGGAAAAATTGGGAGGGTCTTTTGAGATCAATTTTTAAATTTTTTTCTTGGAAAATTGTTCTGAATTTGATACTTAGGAGTGGCCACTACAATCTTAAGTGAATTTGCTCATCTCTTCGAGTAATCAGCCCTGCATGCTTTTGAAAATAAATTTTAAGGTGACTAAATGCCTTCTACCTCTTCCTTACTGAAGATTTTTAATCCCCCTATGCAATCTTTTTTGGGGAAAGAGCAGATTGTGTGCCAAAGATTATAGATCTAAATTCCCCATTTTTGATTTAAAAATTCAAGAGCCAAATGTCACCATTGCTATCCCTGTTTCCGGCAGTGACACAATATAGTGGCATTAAAAACCCCAGTATTCTCCAGAATTCAAATGTTCTTAAGCATATGATTCTTATTTGGAAAACTGAGAAGCTACAGTGCTTGGTGGAAGAAGGATGGCATTTGGCTACCCTATTCTTTCTCTAATGCCTCGGTGTTGCCTGTCTGCGCCGGCCATTGTTGCAATGTAAGCAATACTGTTTGATGCACTGCCACCCTCTATTGTCTGTTTAGTGTTTAGAATCTCCAGTGGGGAAGAGGAAAAGAAGCATGACTGTTAGTACTTCTCAGGACCCATCTTTCTCAGGATTAAACCAGGTCTGAAACTGTCTCCTATTCCAACCTCAATCCCAAATTCATGTGCTTTTCTTTTTTTATTGCTTTATTTTGATTATTTTTACTTTGTTTTAATTCTGGAGAATGTAGATCTTGCTCAAGCATCTCTTATGTTGGCATTATTCAGACATACTTGGCAAACATAACATTACTAAGATACTCCTTTGTGGCTTTTGCTTAAAACTTGTGAATTTTAGAGAAAACCTAAAAGAAAATAGGATATTATCTTTTAGATCTCTTAACATCCGTATGTGGAAATACTGTGTTGGTCTAGTATTAATTCTTTATGTAGTAGTAAGTTTGAAAAAGACTAGTACTTAAAATTCATTTGGAGTTGTACAACTTACTCAAAAAATTCAGTTGCATTAATACTATAAAATGAATTTATTCTTCCTTATTTCTCTCCTTCTGTAATAAATTTCAGGTAAGTATAGGTCACAATTTTTCACAGTCTGTAAATCCTCAGCTTTCACCAAATGGATACTTAAAGAGCATTGCATGCCCTGGAACTAAAAGGTGTTAACAATATAATAGTTACTAAGCACTTACCAAAATAAAAGGTAGTTTATCATTAGTAATATGGAATATAACTGAATGCATAATCTGATTCAGATTTTGGCAGGCCAAAAATTATTGCAGGAATTCATGTCTCATTAAAGAAAATACAAGACTGGCTTCAGGCTTTTTTATAGATTTCGTTTTTTGTTTTGTTTTTTGAGACAGGGTCTCACTATGTAGTCTAGGCTGCCCTCAAACTCAGGCCTCTAAAGTACTAGGATTATAGGCATGCCCTACCACATCTGCCTCTCCCTGCTCTTCCCGTTTGATTTGTTTTGTGGTACTAGGGACTGAACCCAGAGCCTTCACGTTGAGCTACATCCCTAACCCTTATTTTTATTGTGTTTTAAAATTTCAGGCAAATCTTATAAAGTTTCCCAACTGGGATTAAACTTGTCTTTCTGTCTCAGCCTCCATAGTGCTGGAATCATGTGCCTGGCACTTGTATGAATTCAAAAGAAATAAAGGAAAATAAATAAAATTTGAGTACATTTTGATGCTTTTGAATAAATGATTCTTTGTGTTTCACTTTAGCATATGCCCAAAATGAAGTATTGGTATAAGTACTCGAAAAAGAAAAAACAGTATTACTTTTTTATACATATTTATTATCTAAATAATAATTTAATCCTTTTATATACTGCCCAGCCTTATTTCAGGGACTACTTCTTGCTTTTAAAAAGGCCTCAGAAATTGTTATTTTACTTAGGCTAAGAAATGCCAAATCTTTATGACTAGATTTTGGTTGGAGAATGAGAGCAAATGGTAGGTAAATAGGCACATTATAATATAGTAGGAAATTTTAAAGCTGTGAAGCTCCATTGTTTCCTTCCCTATTATCAGTTTTTTTAATTTACATGTGAAGCTACATTAAATTAATATTCTGTACATACAGGTTAGTTAGGGTGTGAGGTAATGTGATGTAAAAACTTTTGAAAGGACAGAAATACATAAATTCTATTTAGGAGAAAAATTGCCCCAGAAATTAAAAACCAAAAATAGAGGTGGTGTTTCTAAAGAAAATGGCCCCAGTCTATCAAATATTAACTCATTTCTTCATCCTTTCAATAAATAGGTAGGCTGCATGTTTTTAAAACAGACTGAATCTTAAAATATTAGTAGAAGTCCACAGAAAAGCAAGGTGGCCCACCAAAGAAATTTTCCTGTCTGCATTCAAGCCGATACATCAATATGTTGTCTTATGCATATTTGATACTGACTGTATATATTTACAGTTATTTGTATCTTTCATATCACAGGGTTTCATGTAAACACTTATTAGATGTTTATATTGGCTATAAATTGAAAATCTATAAAGAGCTATTAAAGAAGCTTGCCTAGGTAACCAAAGGGGTAATGCTCTACCAAGAGATTTTTAAGTTTTGAGTAGTTTTTCTTTCTGTTGTTTGCTAAACATTGAATACCTTTCTTTGCTGATGAAATTTCTTTTCTTGTTTTTGTAATAGAAATTTTAAAATTGATTTATTTGCTTTTTTAGTTTTTAAAGATTGAGATGCTTTAATATTTCTTTTTTTTTTAGGCTTTGAAAAGAAGTGCCTTTTTAAATATAATTACCCCTTAGCCTTGTAGAAGGAAGGAACTCTAGTGAATGCTGAATTTCTATGAAGCAGTCTGGTTGTGAGACTGTCAGTGTCTGATTACTAAGTTGTAAATGAGATAGTGAACGTAGACATAGGCTTCAATGAAATTATTTGACTGTGTTATAATGGTCCCTTTTTCTCCTTTTTTTTTTTTTTTTTTTAAGTACAAAAGGGACGTTCTCCTGAAAACGGAATTGCATGTACTGATTACTGACTTTTCATGCAAACCCCTCATATATACTTAAGATGTTCTTTTCTGTTAATTTTTCCTAAGCACCCCTCACTAAGGTTTTTTGATACAGGGTCTTTTTGCCTATATAGTTCATATTTTAGGCTGGCCTCCTGGCAATCCTCCTGTCTGAGCCATAAAAGTGCTAGAATCACAGGTGTGCACTACTACACTGGGCTTCTGTTTTCATTGTGAATCTGCAGAACTTAATTGTAAATTTTTGTTTGCTTACCAGGAGTGTATTTCACTCAGTTGAATATTGAATGAGCTTCAATATTAAAACATAAGCTTTATTTTTACTTCTTAGTGTTTCATACCATTGACTTTTCTATATTCCCCTGAATGACTAGATTGGTTAAAGAGTTTATTCTTATTACTTAGCTTTTCATCTTATAATTATACTTTACTAATAATCTTTTTTAAAAAATAGTAGAGCAAGTGAAAACAAGGATTTCATTGTTCACATGGTAACAAATTTAATTGGTAATGTCTTTACTGTCCAAAGTATAACTGAGAGTAGTTTAAAGTGCCTGGCTGAAATAAATAATACTCATCTTCCTAAAGAAGGCTCTTGGTCAGATTTTTTAACCTAAATCTTGCTGTATCTATTTTTGACACAAACTTCAGCAAGGTAGATAAACAAGTTGTTCAGGACATTGCAGATTACACACTGAAGGAAGGAGACCCAATAGCCTGATGAAAAGAATTTTAAAATGTAGGCATAATCCAAAAAGACCAGTAGTCTAGGATTATGTACTGTAAGGAGGGTATATAGACTTATCCAGCTTGATAATTCTTATGGATAAATCTTAATTATAGCATAGTATAATAAGTGACATGATAAACACTCTATTTTGAAGTAAAGTTTATTTTCCTTTAATGGTAGGTAAATTCACATTTAAAAAATTTTTTTTATCAAAAGTAGTGTTTTTTTCTTTCAAAAGATTTTTTTTTAATTCTAGAGAATAAGGTTGAATTACTTAGAAAGTTTATTCTGTGTTTTAAATAAGGACCCTGTTTGCCTGTACAGTATAGATGTAAAACTAAACATTCTAAAACACAAATTTTATTTTTAGTTAGCTTATATAAACTGTTATCAATAATCACATCTTAGTGTGCTTTTTTAGATTTTTAATGGACTTGTTCTATTTTCTGGGAGTTTAATCTGATTACATAATGTCAGTACACAGTAATGGAATGACACATACTTCTTTATAATAGTCTTATTTTTTGGTAACTAAAAAGAAAACAAACCTTGGTCTTTATTGTCCATCAGACTTTCAGGGTTGTCTTATTTTAGATAATGAGTCTTGTTTTGGCATTTTGAAGAGTGGCCTTTGTAGGAGGGAAGGGTTCCAGATAGCTTATGTGTAGATTCTGAAACATGATGCTTGTTTACTAGTAGTAATTATCTGTCAGATTTCATTATGGCAGGCAGCATAGCTGACAGCTCTGCCATCAAGTGTGCATACCTTTCTGTACCTACTTCCTAAACACAAGCTCCAGACCTGAAACTGGTGAGGTTGTGCGTATTACAAGGATAAACTACTAGACTTCAGTAGGTTTTTTGATTCTGCTTTGTTTTTTAATTTGGTTTGTTGAAGAAAATTAGTAATTACTAAGGGGTTGTCTGTTAACTATTCAACTTATAATACTTTATTTTGATATATTTGAATGCATAGAACATATTGCAGTTAATGAATAAGAAACAGTTTGAGCAAGATTGAAAACCTAATGTCTCTTTATTTCTCTTTTAAAGTTATTCCTTATTGATTTTGGTTTGGCCAAAAAGTACAGAGACAACAGGACAAGGCAACACATACCATACAGAGAAGATAAAAACCTCACTGGCACTGCCCGATACGCTAGCATCAACGCACATCTTGGTATTGAGCAGAGGTGAGTCTGAAAATTGAGTGTGTTTATCACATCTATAGCAAAAACTATTAATGGGCTTTTGAAATATTTAATTGGTGTTTTAGAGTGTCTAAGGATGTGTCTCTTGGCTGAGAACTTAAAGGATGCTTATTAATTGTTTTACCTGCTGCTTTTGCCCTTTGCAGAGATGGCGATTATATGAGGTCATTTGTTTTCTTTGCCGAATTTGTATCTTTATAAAATACTGCATTATGGAAAGTTAAAAGCATTAATACTATTTTTACATTTCTTGTTACAAGTGAATATGTACTGATTGTTTTAAATGTTGATGTTGGATATTTTATATTTTAGTGATGTGGGTTGAATTTGGGGAGAAAATTGGTTATTTTTACAGGGTTAGGAGAATACTAAAAAGCCAGAAGAGGATTGGTATACCATCTTCTGTTGTACTTTTTTTACTCATAAATTACAAGCTTTGGTTTAAAGTAAATAATCTCTGGTTTCTTCCTACATCTTCACTTGCATTCTGGCTTTTTAATTTCTCTTTACTAATTTTTTTCGTATAAAAGATGGAAATAACAGCCAGGTGTGGTAGCACATACCTATAGTCCAGTATACAGAAAGCTGAGGCAAGAGTGCCGCAAGTCTGAGGCCAGTCTGTGCTGTGTAGCAAGATCCTGTCTCAACCCAGCCCTCCGCCCCTACGCCCCAGAAATAACAACAACCCAGCCCTCCGCCTCTACGCCCCAGAAATAACAACAAATCATATACTTTTCGGTTGAGAACATCATGAGAATTTCCAGTTTAAAAAGAAACATGCATATCTTAGGTTAATCTTAAGATTTCACCTTTTCTGTATGCTAAAACATTAACCTATCTTTAAATATGTGTTTATAGCTCAGTGTAGCTCAGTGGTAGAACACTTGCCTAGCATATGCAAGGCTTGGGAGTCTGTCTGATTACTAGCACCACAAATGAATGTGTGGTGCTGAGCGTAACATTCATGTAGATGTTTAATTAGCTTTAAAATGTGATTTCAGCATTCCTAAAATATCTTGCTACATAGTTTTATGTTTTCATTAACCTTGTTTAGAATTACTTAGCTTAATCTCTTGTTTTCTTAAAAATTACACTTACAGCCTGGGGATGTGGCTTAATGGTAGTGCTCTTGCCTTGCATGCACAGGGCCCTGGGTTCTAGTCTCACCTTTGTTTTTGGTTTTTTGGGTTTTTTTTTGTTTTTTTGTTTTTTTGTGTTTTTTTTTTTGACTATGCTCCTGAAATTTTACATTTTGTGAGAAAAATCTGTTTAGAGATTATTTGTTGTGAACTTTATATTGTAAACTAGGTACTGTCTTGCATGTGGCATCAAATCTATCTTCATTAGGGAAAATTTTTCCCCTATATAATATTTGGCTTTTTTCATGTTACCCATTACAGTTCCTGTTTGTAAAATTACATTTTCTTTTCTAGTCGTCGAGATGACATGGAATCATTAGGATATGTTTTGATGTATTTTAATAGAACCAGCCTGCCATGGCAAGGACTCAAGGTAATCAGATCCAAATTACTGGGGTTTTGTTTTTGAGAAAATATAAGGCTACAGATTTAGCTCAACAGCATAAATGCCTGCCTGGCAAATGTGAGATCATGGGCTTGATCCCTGGTACCGAAATAAATAAATCAATGTTAAAAAACATATTAAGCTGGATCTGGTGACACACCAGTACTTTTGGCACCAAGGAGGCTGATGGAGAAGATCACTTGAGCCCAGGTGTTTGAGGCCAGCACAGGCAACATTACAAAGTCTCATCTCAAAAAATAATACATTGGAGGGGGCTGGGGATTTAGCTCAGCAGCATAAGCGCCTGCCTTGCAAGCATGTGGTCGTACCGATTTAAAAAAAAACAAACCAAACCAAAATAATACATTGGAACTGGATGTGGTTGTGCATGCCTGTAATCCCAGCACTCAGGAAGCTGAGGTAGGAGGATCTCAGTGAGTTCAAGGCTAGCCTTAACTGCATAGCAAAACCCAGTCTCAAAAAGACAAAAAAAAAATTAATAATATTGGGAAGATGGTCTTTATGTCCCTTCCAGATCTGTAATTTTTCTGAGACTGAATTGAATTGATTTTTGCCTTTTATTTGAAAAGTCTGATCATTTCAGTAAGAATTTAGCTAATTAGAGATTAATTTCTTTTGAGACAGAAAAGAAGTGCCCATTGTTAATCGCTAACTTTATCTACATGAAAGTTGATACCTGCTAAGAAAGGGCTCTTATTCTCATGTATAAGCATTATGTTGAAAAGGTATAAGGTAAAACCTGTTCATTTAGGAGTGGTACTTATTTGTACAATTACTCCTAGCATTTTGTTTGTTCAGTGATAATGACACAGAATTTAATGACTATCTTTTATTGGTCCATTAAAAGATAAAGGTTCATATATATGAGTGTCCAAAATAGTCAAAGTGCTCCATTCTTATGGATAGCTTTAATATGAATTTTATCTCACCTATGATTACTTAAATCTCAGGTCTTAAACTTTGTCTAGTGTATATTTATTGGGCTAAATTTTTTAAGATTTTTCTCAGTAGTAAATATATCTTGTTGATTACTTTTATAGGCTGCAACAAAAAAACAAAAATACGAAAAGATTAGTGAAAAGAAGATGTCCACTCCTGTTGAAGTTTTATGTAAGGTAAATGTATTTGACAAGTATCATTTAAAAATACAAGAACAGAAAAAAGATTTTTTTAAACTTAACAAACCAGGATTTAAGTTTACATTTTGGTTATTCTAAGTATCTTTGGCAATGGCTTAAACATATGAATCATTTTTAAATAATTTTTTTGATGTCTCAACGTAGAGCTTTAATTAATAGAAACAGTGGAGGAAAATTAACAAGGTAGGCAAACTTCTGATAGAGCCTTTTTGATCTATGAGAAAAATTAAGAAATGGTCTCCTTTCAACATAAACTGATGTTAGAAAGGAGAGGATGTTAGCAGTTGGTATATGAATAGAGAGAAGAGGCAAACAAAGCAGGACCAGTCTAAAAATAGAAATTTTCCAACAGTAGAGAAATTTAGACAACAATATGAATTAGGCTTGTTTCTCTGAAGTTTCAAGCTTTATAAAAAGGCACATAAGTTAGAATGAGTTAGTATTTTACCCTCATGAATAACTATGTTCTCTTTCATTGAAATAAGGCCATATGATCTTCTTTGAGACTGTAATTGCATACCTGAAACTAAAATAAAAGTATGTAATTAATATATTTATTGCTTTAGTTTTGGGCCTTCACTCAACAACAACAAAAATAACATGAGTACTTTGTAACCATTAAACCTGATTACATAAGTGTCATCAGTATAAAATGTTGCCGGGTTAACCATTCTGTCCTGCCTTAACTTCTGGCTATAAGAAATTTCTCAGATCATGAAGTTGAGGGAAGAGATTGCCACCTATATAACTTGCTCCCTTCACATTTGTATTTACTCAGAGGGAAAAAAATAACAGGAATTTAATGTTTAAATCGCTGATGGCATAATCCTCTTGGTGATAGACAAGAAGAGCCTTAAAAATCTTAAAAGGCTAGAGGTGGAGGGTGGCATGTGCCTGTAATTCTAGTACTTGGGGGACCAAGGCAGGAGGATCACTGTGAATTTGAGGCCAGACTGGGCTACATAGTGACTTCAAGGCCAGCCTAAACTGTAGAGTGAGATCTTGTCTCAAAAAGACAAACAAAAATCTTCAAGATATTTTAGACACTGATAAGATAGTAAATCAACAAGCAGAATGTCTGAATTATTTTGGGGACATAGTACCACTATATAGGAAAAAAATAAGTATTTCCTTTAAATATGAAAAGATAATGTATATAACAGTAGGTAAAATAATTATAAAACTGTTGAAATATACTCAGGCTATAATTTTTTCATATCTTTGTAAAGTAGTAAAATATCCTATTCAGACACATTTTTTGGCTTGCATTTAATAATTTTCCTATTTTAAATAAAGATTTTTCTCTGTTTTAACTCTTAAATCTTTAGGGATTTCCTGCAGAATTTGCTATGTACTTAAACTATTGCCGTGGGCTGCGCTTTGAGGAAGCCCCGGATTACATGTACCTGAGGCAGCTATTTCGCATCCTTTTCAGGTCAGTTTTTAAGATATTTTTAAGCCCGTAAACTTTAGCAAGGGAAATAGGTTAACTCCACTTAACTTGTGTGTTCAGATAATTAGTTAACCAATGTGAATCAAAGAAACAGTTGAATCAACATAGTTTATTTTTCCAAAGTAATTGCAATTTACATTACCTAATAGCGAGATGGGTGAGGTGGCGCATACCTGTAATCCTAGCACTTGAAAGACCTATCTGGGAGGTTAGCTTCAAGTTTGGGGTTAGGCTAGGCTACATAATAAATTTGAAGCCAGCCAGGACTACATAATGAGACCCTGTCTCAAAAAACAAAAGAAACTGTCAGTGTCCTCTTGGAACTCCAGCTTTAATATAGAACCCTGTGCAGTACAAGATTAAAAAGCAATTAAACTACCAGATAGCCATCATGGCTATCTGCCATGAGGAGGCAGTCCCAGATTGGCATTCCTTTAGCATTCACGTAGCTCAAGCTCTGAGTTAGAAGAAAGTGGGAATTGAGATAATTCTTTAAACCCAGGAGAGTCTTCCTCCCAGGGCACCAATGCACACATCTCATTCACACGCTTCAGCTCCTTAAATGCTCTTTTGGCTTCTCAGTAATTAACCTTCCATTACAATATCCGGGCTGTGGGGCTGGAGGTTTAGCTCAGCAGCATAAGCGCCTGCCTTGCAAATAGGCAGTCATGAGTTCGATCCCCAGTACCGATAAAAAGGAAAAAGACAAAAAAAAAAAAAATCCTGTCTGAGTGCTTGACCTAGTGTTGCCTTTTCATTCCTGCTTACTCGTTTGCCCCTTTTGAAGAAATAACAGATCTGTTTGAAAGAGGACTTATTTTTTGTCTAATGTAGCGAGACTAAAAATGGTGTTACCCAAGTAGCTTTCCCTCAGACATGTTATTTTAAAAGTTAGATTTCACTGAAGAGTTAAAATTATTTGTAGGAGAAAAATCTTTATATGAAGAAATATTGATGTTCTAAAGAAATGCCTTTGATGTCTTGAAAGATCACTAGGTTACTTGATAATATGAAAGGATTAACATGTGATTTTTCAGAGTCCACAATGTGTATACCTCAGTTGGGGGCAGAAATAACATGTAATTTATATTTTCCAGGACTTTGAACCACCAGTATGACTACACGTTTGATTGGACAATGTTAAAGCAGAAAGCAGCACAGCAGGCAGCCTCTTCCAGTGGGCAGGGTCAGCAGGCCCAAACCCCCACAGGCAAGCAAACTGACAAAACCAAGAGTAACATGAAAGGTTAGTAGCCAAGAACCAAGTGACGTTACAGGGAAAAAAATTGAATACAAAATTGGGTAATTCATTCATTTATAACAGTGTTAGATCAAGGAGGTGGTTTTAAAAGGCATACAAATTTGGCTCTGTGTTTAAAAAAAAAGACGTCCTTGGAAAATTTGACTACTAACTTTAAACCCAAATGTCCTTGTTCATATATATATATATGTATATGTATTTGTATATACATATATATGTGTATATTATTATATCATTTCTCTTGGGATTTTGGGTCATTTTTAACAACTGCATCTTTTTTACTCATTCATTAACCCTTTTCCAAAATAAACATTTGGTGTTGGGAATATGGTATTTTTATCAATCAATCCAAAATCCTAGACCTAACACTTGTTGATTTTTAATAATGAATCTGATTTGCCATGGTATTTTGACTTTCTTTCAGACTAACAGTGTTAAGAAGTTTTTGCATGTTAATACTTTAGCATTTAAAAGGGAAAATAGTGAATATGTTCTAATTTCAAGACGATGACTTTGGCATTGCCCTGAATGAAGTGTGTCCTGTCTTCTCAGTTGAAGAGTTATCTCATGTACTCCTAAATGTTCATACAACTGCAAAGCACATATATCTTTCCTAATCACAAAAATAAACCTCTCTTATTTACAGTCAACTATAACAGTTCTTAATTTTAAATACTGCAGATATCGGGCTGTTGGTTGGTGTTCAGTGTGGACTGTAAGTGTGCAGTTAGGCCTGCCTCTCACATTGAAGATAACTGGGGCAAATGCTACTGAACTGCTCATCTGCTTTTTTTCTGTCTTTGTTTGGTACTCTTCACTTCTGTGGAGGAAGACTGTTAGGGTACAGCTCAGTTTCTTAATCACCGTTGCTGTTCAGTTCAACTCTTGTTTTCATGTTTTTATTTTCTTTTCCTCTTTCTGGAGCTTACCTCCTAACACCTGCCTACATTCTCCATGTGGTAGGGAGGTAAGAATTAGATTTTTCGGGGTTTTTTGGAGGGGAGATTGTGTTTTTGGTTTTTTCTAATTATGTAATCTGATTAACTTTGCTAATCTGAATTTAGCCTTTATAGATTGTTGACCCATATCTTTAGGGTTGTATTTAAATAATTTTTGTAATTTAATAATCCATTCTAATCTCAGGATACTTTTCAGGAAGTACTGTATAAGTGATATTATCTTAGTCTAGCAACTTATCCATTAGAGATGAAGTTTGAAGTGCTTCTATACCATCTTTCTGTATTTGGGAAAGATTCAGAACTGAAGATCTTAATGTAGTAGGATCATTCTATGAATAAATTTAAAGTCAGGATAGCAAACACTAATGTTTTCTCAGTACTCTTGTCTCTACACCTTAGTTGGGATTTGATTGCCTCTTAAAAGTTTTGATTGTATATCTGATAAGTCATGAAACCCATAATGAGATAGGTAATGTCACTGAGGAATGGTTCTACTATTTAGTTAAGACCAAATATACTTTCTAAGCCAAGGACTTCTTATACTTAGCATGTATAGGATATTCGCTTTTTCTCACAAAATGAAGTTAATTTTGCCTCAAGCTTGCTGCTGGGATGATAGGATTATCGCGACTTGCAGTTTCTAAAACCATAAAATTAGATTAAAATCTCATCTGGTCTAGAACATTTTACTTCATGCATTTAGCAGTCTTCAGAAAGAATTGTCTTATTTTGAGCTAGTTTCATTGTTCATTGTGTATCGCTTAATCAACAAGCAGAATTTTATCTTACTTTATCCAAGCCTTTTTTTTATTTGTTTTTTGAGAAAAGGTTTTGCCATATAGTTCAGGCTGACAGCTGGCCTCAACTTGCACCAGTCTTTCTACCTCATGTCCCAAGTACTGAGTTTATAGGTATGCACCACCTATACCCAGCTTTATCCCAGTTTTTAAAAGATGAGAAGTTGGATCCACTAAGTTAGTATGTTTTTTGTAAAAATCTTACAAACATAGCATCACACCAAACAATAGAAATACAATTTATTAAATGAACTCATAAAATTCTAAAGAATTCGATGTCTCAGTGAATAATCACATATTGAATACTTTCAGAGGTAAATTTCTAAGGCTGGGTATGTGGCCCTATAGTCCCAGCCATCTGGGATTCTGAAGCAGGATAATCACTTGAACCCAGAATTTCAGCCTGCAGAGTACAGAAAGACCCTGTTTCAGGAAAGTGGGGGGGGGGGGTATGGTGGGAAATCCTAGGTAATATTGACCCTAAGCAAAATATTGCTTGCTATTGAAATATGCCACTCCACAGAATGTAAGTAGCAGAATTATTTTTTGCTCCTTAACTTCTTGAAAATATGTGTATTGTTTCCTATATCGAATTTAGTACCTAATTAAGTCCTATTCAAGTCCCTTTGTGTGTAAACCCATGAAAATACAGCAGGCCTGAAGGTGATATCAAGTAAGTGTGGGAAGCCTAGCCCCCAAACCTTTACCCCCAGTGCATTATCTAGATCGCTTTTTATTTCAGTCTGTAATTCATAGAGATATGTAAAAGCGTAGTCTCTTGGGCCCACTACATTAGGCTTTTTTTAATTTAAGGAAGAACTCAAGAAATCTCTTCAGTAATGATAGAACACAATATTAGATTTTTCTACTTAAAAATTTTAGAAGTTCCCTTCTTATGTAAGAGCTTTTTTTTAAGGCTTGCTTTTCAGTGAATTCAGTTTCATAAATGAATCTTCATAAATCTGTATTGTGGAAATACTTGTTCTGGGGGAAATTCTCCAAATACTAGTATTCACCAATGTATTCTATATGGTTATTTTTGAAATACTTGTATCTAATGTTTTTGCCATGGAAAATTACAGTAAGTTGTTCTAGCAATTCATTTTAAATGTCTAAATACTAAAGTTCATTTTATTTAGGTAACATAGGCTTATATAATAGATTGCAGCCCTGATTGTTTTTCTTTAGTACTTTTCAAATGCTACATTCCAAAGCCCAAGAAAACAAGGCTCTTCTCCAATTGGTTGTTATCTGTACTAGTTTTTCAGTGCTCATGTGCCACAGATAATTTTTTTTAGTCTCATTCAAGAGAAAAACTAAATTCACACCCAACACACTAATAGACGCATTTTAACTACGTGAAATCCTATGAGTTCGATCCGTGGTACCCCTCCCACTTTTTTTTTTTTTTTTGAAAAAAGAGAAAAAAATAAGCATTATCACCTAGATAAGTTGATCATTTCTTTATCTGTGGGTAGAAATGGGGGGAAATTACAAAAATAGTGAAGTCAAAGATGAATCTTTATATAATTATATTCTCTTGTCTTCTTAACTCGTTTGCATAACATACCAACCATAGATAATAAGCATAGCTTTATCCTAATAATGTAAGTACATTTCAAAAGTTGACATTTAAAGATTAGAAATATTTTCCCATCACATTAACCCTCCGTGTCCGTGGTCTTCCTTAAATTACCTTTTGGTATGTACTGGGCTTTACCTGCTATTCATGTCTGGCTTAACTTTCTGACTTCACCAATCACTGCCAGGAACATGGCTGGTCACTTAGCAACATAACCTAAATAGCAGGGGAAGACGTTGAAATACCTGAAGATGATCTGCTCTGAATACACTCATCCCAAAGAAGTACCAGTCAGCTTCATCTCCTCATTGAAACCTTGAATTTTTGTCAGCTTTTTTCATTGTGAACAGTAAAGCTGAAGAGAAAAGAATTAAGTAACTCAACAGGAAAATGAAGATGAGTATGCAAGGATTGATTTGTGGTGACACAGAGCTGGACCTATCAAATTTTTCAACATGTCACATTATCTGGATGACACTGCAACTTTCAGAAGACCTAGAAGGACAACATCAGTGTTGCTGTGTTTCAGTGGTGTATAATGCAGACCATCTCCCAACCAGAGACGGATTCGGTTGTAACAGGTATTTTAAAACTCAGTGACCTCAGAAATCTACTTGAGAATTAATTCTGTAGAGACAGAGAATCCAGATCATTAGTCTATTGATGCAGTTAGGATGATACAGATCTGCTATACTTAAATTGTCAATTGTCTTTTTTACTCATAAAGAGATTTTTCCAATTTCATACTTATGGTTTCTACAGAGAGGAATTACTGTAGTTTTTGTTTTGTTTTTAAACTATATATATGACCAGTCTGATTCAAAATTCTCTGAGCTTAATTCTGTGTAGCCAAAAGACCACATAAGCATATCGGTAAAGTTAGTTAATAAAAGTGAGATTGTATAGTGGAAAGCTGTTACAGATTTGTAAGACTGCTACAACCTGCTGGGTATGGTGGCACGTACCTATAATCCCAGCACTTGGGAGGCTGAGGCAGAAATTTGAGACCAACCTGAACTATATGGTAAAATTCTGTCTCAGAAAAGTTCAGGGGGAGGAGACAACTACCCTATAAATAAATAACCCATTAAAATAGTTTCTGGTTGTATTTTTAAAGTCAATCAAACTTGAAATGAATTCATAAATACTTCAGTTTTTAGATTTCAGACAGACTGAGGAGTAGAATATTCTTGTTACATAAAAAATAATAAAGTCTTCCCATTTTAAGATTTAAAAAGAAACTTAAATGTAGCTATTAACTCCTGAATCATCACATTAGTCCTCCAACTTTGTTTTAATTTTCTTTTCCCCTCTATTTTAGGAATAAAAGGTTTCATCCCTCATTTTAAGATGTTACAGTGAAGACACATTCTTGAATTTTGGGAGCCAGGAGATGTCATCCAGACTGCAAGATAAAAATAAAAAAGACTGAAGCACAGAATGTTTATTACTACTTGAAAACTGAATGTTGGATCCCTGCTGAATGTTTCTTTTGAGATTTTACCTACCTCAGGATCTCTTTGGACAATTCCCTGAAGACAGCTTGTTGGTCTTGGGTGGAGTGTTCCCACATGGGTTCATCTGAAGAGTTCAATCTGGATTTGACTGCTGCGGTACCCTGACCAGAATACTGTTAGGCCAGCCTTTAGCCAGTCTCTTAAAGAATTGTAATCACTGATTGACCTACTGATTTGGAACAGATCAAATTCTTACCTAGAGCCTTCCCAGTATTTAAAACAAAAGAGTTTCCTAAACAGTATAAAAAGTTTCCTTTTTAGTTTGTTGGTGGTCAGAGTGTTCTACTTGGAAATCATTTGGGAATACTGAATGTGACAAATATTCAGTGCAATGTGATCGCATAAGCACACTATGATAAAAGAAAACACACCAGTTTTTAGTAGTTGTGAGAATGTTTCTTTTTATCATACTGAATAATTGCAAAACTTGAAATCAAATCCTAATAGTATAAGGGCCATTTCTACTTGGCTAACCCATAGTTTCTTAACTTGGAAAGCTGCATTTAGTTACTTTACCTGAGGCTTGGTTTTGTACTATTTCTGTTCATTTTTAGTTTATTTTAGAATCAGGAATAGTGGTCCACATTTGTATGCAAGAAGATTGAGAGTTCAAGGGAGCTTAAGTTACATAGTCAGACCCTCATCATAAACAAATGAGATCACTTTGTTCATCTGATTTGATAATGTGCATCAAGGCAACAATATCTGTTATATACCTACTGTTTAGTCCAGCACTATGGAAAGAAAAAAGTAAAGCCCTTATATCTTTGTATATGTATAAGGCCTAGTACAATTACCAAAATAAGGGAGGATGATAATTTCTACTCTTAAATTGAAAAAGTTAAAATGTATAAGTGTTTGGTACTATTTTCAAAAACACCCAAATCATACTTGCAATAAGTAAACAATGGGTATTTTGTGTGTCCCACCTAAAACCTAAAGTAAGTTATGTAACAAATATTTCAGAAAAGGAATAGTTTGGTGTGAAAAGCATGATTGGTGTTAAAAAGACAGTAGAGCTGTTAAGAGTTTTTCTGGAAGAGGAATCAGGGGAGCATTGCAGTGTCTGACACTGGGTGAAAGGAGAAGGTACATAAAGGGTCTTCAGGTTAAGAGGCATATTTCGTTTCTCGTTGCCTATAACTAAAGATAAGACCTACAGCTCTTTATGACCTGCAAACTTCTTATATTCAGACCTACCTTTATGAAGAAATGCTAGGTCTGCCGGTAGGGGAAGAGAGAAGTATGTACTGCGTGCAAGGATTTGAGAAATAAAACCCCAAAAGCATCAATTGTTTGTTTACATTGTTCACATCACTGACAAAACTATTTTTTTTAATGTCAATAGGTAGATGTAAAGTTTAAAGCTGTTTAAAGTTTCTGTTTAAAAATTACATTTTTTCATAGCTAGGCAGGTTGGCACATGCCTGCAGTCTAGCATGCAGAGGTTGAGGCCAGCCTGAAACCCTATTTCAAAATAAAAAAGAGCCAGGGATATAGCTCAAGGGCCTTGAGCTCAAATCTCCAGTACAGTACTAAACAAGAACAACAAAAATGTTTGTGCTTAAAATATGATTGAAACTGGGGCTGTGGGTTTAGCTCAGCGGCATAAGCACCTGCCTTGCAAGCAGGCGGTTGTGAGTTCGAACCCTGGTACTGATAAATATATATATTTGATTGAAACTATATTCTCTTAAGTGTTAAAGCAATGCATTTGTCATTGCTTAAACAAATGTTTGAATTGGAGACAGGGTGTTACATAATGCAGGCTGGCCTTGAACTGGCTCATGTAGCGCAGGCTGGCCTTAAACTTGTGAAGTAATCTCCTGCCTCAGCCTCCAAAGTGCTGGGGTGCCACAAGGCCGAACTGTGAACAAATTTTTGAAAGCATAATATGCTCTAGGTAGTAAAGAAGTAAACTGAACATACTCATTTGAATTTCTAGTAGTTCTTGAGACTTGTATACTGAGGTTTTAATTCACCGTATACCATTCCTTTTGGGGGCCATCTAAATCAAAAGTTTTTTTAAAATTATCGATTGATTACTTTTTGTTTTAGAAAGCTAAGCCTTGTGACTCTCAACTAGATAAAATGGTATGAGCTGCTATGTTATCTCAGTTCTACGCAGTTTCCCTTCATTTTTTTAAAAGAATTCTTAACTTGGAATTTAACATTCTTTTCTGTTTTGATTTTGTTAAACAGGCTTCTAAGCATGAATTGAAGAACCGAAGAAGCAGACCAGATGATCGGAGCAGCATTTGTTTCTCCCCAAATCTAGAAATTTTAGTTCATATGTACACTAGCCAGTGGTTGTGGACAACCATTTACTTGGTGTAAAGAACTTAATTTCAGTATAAACTGGCTCTGGGCAGTGTCGCTGAAGCTTTGTCTGGAGTTGTAGCCGCTGTAATTGTGAATATTAACTGAGATAGTGAAACATGGTGTCCGGTTTTTTATTGCATTTTTTCAAGTGGAAAAGTTAACTAAATGGTTGAGACACACACACACACACAAATTGGTGGAGAAATTGTGCATATGCCAATTTTTTTGTTAAAACTTTTTATTTTGAAATATCCTGCTTTGAGATCTCATTTCAGAAGAATGGCATGAACAGTCTTCAGCCACAGTTGTGATGGTTGTAAATGCTCACAATTGTGCATTCTTAGGGTTTTTTAATCCCTGGGGTTTGCAAGTTGTTCACTTAAAACATTCTTTAAATGGTTGGCTTCTTGTTTGCAAGCCAGCTGATACGGTAGCAACCAAAGATTCCAGTGTTTGAGCATATGAAAGACTGCCTGCTTACTTGTGCTAGAAATAACAGCATCTAAAGCGAAGACTTATGAAAAATTTAGTGACTACTAGATTATCCTTAGGACTCTGCATTAACTCTATAATGTTCTTGGTATTAAACCCATATTTGTCACAGAAGTTTAGTTAACATCTTACAACTGAACATGTATGTATGTTGCTTAGATATGTAATCACTGTAAACATCTATATGATCTGGGATTTTGTTTTTATTTGAAATGGGAGCTTTTTTGTTTACAAGTTCATTAAAAACTTAAAACTTTCTGTAAGGAAATGAGATTTTTAAGAAAAACAAACAAAATGCCTTGCTGACTCAATGAAATAAAAATCTCCCCAATTTTTTGATAGACTACTTCAGCCATTTGTTGTTACATGACACTCCTTTACTAGTTGTTTAAAGATTTAGTGTTAAAAATTCTTTTTTTTTATTTAAAGTTTTTTCCCCTTTTGCTCTGAAAGAAAAAGGCATCTTTTCTTTCTTTCTTTCTTTTTTTTCTTTTCTTCCTTTCTTTTTTTTATGACCTGCAGGCACAATACTAATCTTGCCTCTGCCAGAACTTGTAATTCTTGCTGCCACTGACTTAACAGCTGGGCTGATTTTGAATAAGGATGAAAGCATTAAAGGGTTTGACTCCAAAATGTTTTTCTATAAAATACTTGTGAAATGGCTATAAGCACTTGACTCCTCCGAGTGTCTTGCTGTGTGAAGTTCAAGTGATTCTTTATCCTCTACCCCCACCCGCTTCTGTAAGTTACCTGTGTGTGCGTGTGAGTTTCTCAGTCTTATTTACTCACTCTTTCTCTGACACAGAGAAAGAAGACTTATCGATAGTAATTCTTTATATAGTGTAATTTATTCAGTTGTAGCATGTCAGGATAAATTAAAAGAACAGTAGTCCGAAAATGCCACCAGGAGCTTATTGTGTAAATGTAGGTATTTTACTTGTAAAATAACCTTGAAACTAAGTTGACATATTTGGTCAGATTGTATTAAAGTTGATTTGGGGGTTTTTTAAGGATTTTTTTTTCCTTTTTTAATTTTACAACTACTTTAGCAATAATTAATTCCATGTTTGCCACATTCTGTCATTAGTGGGTATATTGGTATGATATGGAAGAAATCCGAGTCTGAACTTTCGGGGTAGGCGGCTTATGTTTTCTTTTCTAACCACTTGTGTCAGTTAAGGTGTTTTTTTCTTGACTAATAAACCCTTTGATACTTTTAGCCAGAAATCAGTCTCATAAAGCTATTTTTGAGTATAGTTTGTGTAAAATAAAACTGTTTAGCTTTGGTAACAACTTTTCCAAGCTGAACTCCCTCTAGCAAGATATTTTTCAGTGCTTTTATTTACTATGCACTTAGACTATGCACTTTTTCTGAAATATTTTTGTAACACTTTTTTGTATTTTTGCCATTTGAAAAGGTTGTGGTGTAGTTGGTCTGTAATTAAGTTGCAGATTTAAACCTGCTGTTAGCTTTGTAAATCAAAATATAGGTGTTTTTGCCCTGGTATGTTGTTATTCCATCTGCAGCTGGAGCTGGAATCCCATTGATCTTCTAGCTACCATTCATTTTCTGCACAATTCACAAAAGAAGATTGTGAAATTCAGTGAATGCTGTTACTAATCCTGTCGGGAGATGAATCTCATTTCACCAAAATTAAATTATGTTTTTCCACAAAATGATACAAGTTGAAGACACATCACTCTGAAATTGGAAGACCTCACCACTTAAGGCTCTGCAGTGGCTTGCTCGGCTGAACTCTAGGTTACTACTCTTTACTTTGTTCACCCATTGAGGGGTGCAGTTTTTCTAAATGTTGGGAGATGGCCCTTCTAACTACTGTTGAATGTCTGTTTTGGGAAGGTATAAGAAGAAAATAAAAGATATATATGAAGGGAGAGACTGGTTATCTCCTCCCACACGGTTGTGCTTACACTTAAGGCCTACAAAAAAGGATATTTGGAGATTTGCTTTACTGTGGTTTCCCGCCAACAAAGTTTTTATTAAGCGATTTTCCCACATCTACTAGTCCTTGGAATACTAGTAGTGTTTGATGTTTCAAGTAGAGATTACTGCAATAATTACAAGCTTAGTTCCATTAGTACAATAAGTATCAAGAATTTTAGAACTAAAGCCGACTAGTTTTCCCTAAAGGTTGCAGAAAAAGACTTTCTAGCCTGGCGTGGTGACACTTGTATCCCCGGCTACTTAGGTAAAACAGCAAGATCCTATTTCTGAGGAGCAGTTTCTTAGCAGTTCTTGAGTAGAACAAGCCACAGAATTCTAAGAAAAACCTTACTGACAGTGCTTTTTTCCAGGCCTTTGAGTCCAAGACAGTTGGCAGTAGCAGTATTTTGTTTGCCAGTTTTTAAAACTCATACTCGTGACCAAGATGTGAAAGGATCTGCATAAAGTAGTAGTATTAAATTTATACCAGTTGTGCAGTCTGAGCAGGGGTGGGGCTAGGAATGAAACCCCAAAAAGCCAAAGCTCTATTATTTAGCTGTATTCATGACCCATTCTGTCCCACCCAGTGAGCCAGGGATAGGTGGGTGTGATGGTGTGCACTTGAAATCCCAGCACTTGGGAAGCTGAGGCAGTGGGCAGCCATCAGTTCCAGGCCATCCTGGGCTGCAAGACCCTAACTCAAAGAGCCTCAGAAATGTTTGGTTTTTTGGCTTGTTTTTGTTTTAGTATGCTTTTGAAACAGCCAGAGATGGCAATAAACTAAGTGTAAATTAATAGGAGGTTGTGCATTCTGTTTAATCAAGTAAAGTGATGTGTTTTCTGAAGTCACTTGCTAGACCACCCTTAAAAGTGGAGTCATGGAAGTGTGGCGAGGATAGCTGACCAGGTTATACAGTGAGAGGTATTGATTGACTTCAGCCTGAGGAGAGATACAAAATGGACCTCTCCTATTGTGCCAGAAATGAGATCACAAAGTACAGTGGATTCCTGTCAGAAGAACACAGGAGCAGGGCTGGGGATTTAGCTCAGTGGCATAAGCACCTGCCTTGCTAGCAGGCGGTCGTGAGTTTGATCCCTGGTACCGATAAAAATGAAAAAGACAAAAAAAAAAAAAAGAACACAGGAGCCACTTGAAGTGTTCAGAGTGGTCAGATCTGTGTCAACATTACCGAAGTCCTGACGGTGACATGACAGCTAATTGAATAAATGTCTGTAATTCTGAGAAAGCTCTTGCTGAAGACCCCACGAGTAAAGGCAGTACAAGGACAACTAGTTTATATCATTTTGATCTTCAAAACAGCTAGATGGGTACTGTAAGAAAAATGTTTGGAGACTGTGAAGCTATTGGAGGTGGGGCATCTTGGTGCAGTTGGTGAGCGAGGACCTAACCTGCCTCCTGTTCACTTTCCTGTGTTTAAAACAGTGATGCTCTGTCACCCTTTGAAACCAGTAATGGTAATAGAAGCTACTGCGAGTTGGATGCTATATGGCAGGTGCTTTTGAAGTGCTTCGCTTTATATGTATTAGCCTAATGCTCAGCTCTCCATAAAGTAGGATGTGCCTTGTCTTACACATGTATAGCAAGGCATGACAGAATGGGTAAGTTTCACTAAGGTGACAAAATTAAGAGTGGGTGTTGGCGGTGATGAAGATTGAGCCCAGGTATTGTATCCCACTGAGCTACACGGCCAACCCTTTTGAAGCTGGTTTAAGATTTCATTGCAGTTCCCTTCATTAGTATTTATAAGTATTTTTAGTATGAAGCTTATGGGTTAGTGATGTAACTAGCATGTGTTGTAAATGAGGCGTAATGCAGGTATAAAAATGAGTGTAGGACAGTTGTGACTGTGTCGACAGAAACCTAATTAAAACATTTAGGGCCCATCTGTAATATGCAAGTGAGTATATTCTGTTCTAAATTTGTGGGCATTTTACACAGCAGGGGCAGTCAGTCACCTTCCTGTCCTCAAACCCAGAAGAGCATGTTAAGTAGATGTAAGTAGGCTTGAGGTGACTTGGCTGTTCCTTTCCAGTGCTTTTTTTTTTTTTTTAAACATGCAGCTCAGGCTGGCCTTGAACTCCCTTTGTAGCCCAAGCTGGCCTTCAACTCAGCAGTCCTCCTGCCTCAGCCTCTTGAATTACTCAGTTTACCAAATGGAAAGTGAGTCAGCCATATGCAAAAAAATGCTGGTGTTTGGTAAGGTTGGGGTTTTCAGAATATAACAGTTCAAATGATCTGAGGCAAGAATGCGAGGACCACTGGTGAAAGGGCTAGCTTTAGGCGTTGGGGTTGTGACGATTTTGTGTATACTATAAAAATAATTGTGTATGTCTTCCAAGATGACACTGGTGAATTGATGCTGTTCCTAAGGAGTCATTACTCACACACCAAAATAAAGCAATTTCAACCACAGCAGATCTAAGGTCTGGGAGAGAACCAAATGGGAGAGCTCATTCTGTCTTGCAGAACAGTTGAAAGAAATTCAGGTTCCCCAATCAAGATTAAAATCCAGTCCAAGCAGTACTTTTCAGTAGTGACATCATTAAGAACAATTTCTTTATTGCATTCATCAGGTAACATTTACTGGTTACCACCAATATCTCATTTATGTATTGATAGTGAAAAGAAAATTGTAAACCAGTTACTTACTTAACAGTCTTACCAGAAAATTGAAACTTATTTTTTAAAGTCAGCTTTAACTATTAACTGAAATTAAGTTAGGACGTGGTGGCACATGACTGTTATCCTGGCATTCGGGAGGCTAAGACAGGAGGATCACTCTTGAGTTTGAGGCCAGCCTGACCTGCATGGTGAAACCCTGTCTCAAAAATACCAACAAACAGAAGTTACATATCTAGTGATCAGGGATACAGTATGATTTGCACTCTGCAAAGTAAAACCATACTTGATCAAGTTATATTTGCTCAGGACTGGGGATTTAGTTCAGTGGCATAAGCGCCTGCTGGGCAAGCACGAGGTTGTCAGTTCAATCCCCAGTACCACAAAAAAAACTTGTATTTGCTCAAAACATTTCTGCACAAAAAAAATTTTTTTTCGGTGTGCCCAGATGTATATAGATTTTTCTCATATACCAATGTATTTACTGAAGTGATTCTTGTTTATAGTACTTGTTTGGGGATAAGGCTAGGGATCAAATCCTAAGCATGCCTTCTTGACCTGGGCTTCAAGCAACCTTTAACTGAAATGACATTCCCAAGGCTTAAAGCACAGTACTTTTATAGCCTGTCTTTTGTGGAGCAAAGTATCTTTCATACAAAAACGTAGCCTTTCCTCAACATTACCATATTAAGTCTGCAAAGCTACAAACAGAGAAGGAAAACAGTAACTGTTGGAAACAATTGCTATGGGTTTTAGGCATCCAGCCATTAGTTCTGTATGCCAGTGACAGTGGCACAAAGCTTGGTGATAAAGTGCTGTGTTAGATATTTAGAAGAGGGAAGCGGTAGGTATTTTTAGAAACTGGTCTTAACAGTTGCTAAGTAAATATTTTTATTAATTGCAGAACTGATTTGCACTGTGCTAATATTCCATTGAGTGTTATGTTTTAGTCTAGATTTAGTAAAACAAATTCCAGTTCTGGTGTGCAACCAAGAAAAATGAAAGTAAATAATTCAGGCAATTTTTTATATCATTGATTGCCCTGCTTCCTGCGGAGTGACGAAGAATGTTTAAGCTATTGCTACTTTGAATGTTACATGAGTGGAGGAGGATTTGCTTTTATTCTTCTGGGCTGGGGTCTTGCTGTTACCCAGGCCGCCCTCTCAATTTCTGGAATCAAGTAATCTTTGTTCCTCCTCATTGCCCCAAGTAGCTTGTAACTACAAGTATGCACCATCACACCTGGCTTATTTTTTGGCCTATGTACAAAAGTGCAAGTTCTACACAAAAAGTAACACAGATTAATTGTATTCGTTAGCAATTAAAGAATATTTACTGAATCTGTGCAAGGCACTGTTTTGCCTCCTGGGAATTCAGAGGTAACATTTCACGCATATGCAGTAGGGGGTATTGAAATGTGTGAGGTACTAGTGAGCAGGAGACATCACGCCTCCATTGTATCTAGAATGAGCGAGATTCCTTTGGGTAATGAGTAAACTGACTTGGAGGAATGGTAGCAGAATCACTTGAACAATTGCAGCTAGCAGAGTACCATTTCCTTAGCAGAGATTGCAGTAGGGCGCGCAGAGGTTAAACGCTGGAAGTTTGTGGGCGCTGAGAACCTTCAGTCATTAAAAATTCCTTACCAAAGTTAAAATGGTGAACATAGATGGGGAGGGGAACCCTATCCAGTACCAAGGCACTCATTGATCTAGACTCCTTGCATTGCCGTCAAGAAGATAGAACAGAAATAGTAAGTGCCCTTAAGTGGAAGAGGAGGAGAGGGAGAAAATGTGAGCAAATGCAAGCAGCACGCATAAACCCGACATGGGGAGGCTGTGCCGTGCCGACTAGGGGAGTGAGGCACCATTTTCAGAGCTTGCAGGAGTCCCAAGGGTAGAATATGCATGGAGCTGTTTCCTGGTCCCTGGCAGGAAGCCAGGAAAAACTCTTCATCCTGTCACAAGTCTGAAAAGTCCCATGTGCGGTGCTGACAGTAACTTCACGAACAGCTTGAAGAAGTAGTGCTGACTCACTGGGCTCCAGGAGATGCTGAAGACATGTTTGAGGCTGATGATTAGCCCTTGTAGCATAAATAGATTTTAATGTCTTTTCAAAGGATGAGTATCTTTGATTTCCATCCTTAGAGGAAGAATGTGTTGTATTTATAATTAGACATCAGGAAGGATAATATCATACATGAATTTTATTCTGAGTGAATGCCAGAGGCTTTTATGTCATAAAAGCTTTTATGGCTTTTATGACAATATTCAGATATTGTCACCCAAGCAAATATTGAGCCTAATAGAA